CCTTCTCCAGTTCTCCTCTTCTCTCTCTCTCTTCATTTGCTCTAATCTCTATATCTCGCCCTTTTTTTTTTATTCTCTTTTTTTCTTCTTCTTCTCTATTTCTCTGATTTTCTTCTTTCTTTTTCTGGGTCTCTATCAAATTAACAGGTCAGTTTTGTTTTTTTTTTTTTTTTCCTTCTCCAGTTCTCCTCTTCTCTTCTCCTCCTCTCTCTCTCTTCATTTGCTCTAATCTCTATATCTGGCCCTTTTTTTTTTTTTTTTTTTTTTATTCTCTTTTTTTCTGATTCTCTATTTCTCTGATTTTCTTCATTCTTTTTCTGGGTCTCTAGTAGACTGGTATTTTTTTTTTTCAGGTCTCTTATTTTTTTTCTTCTATCTTTTTCTCCGTCTCTGTTTCTATTCTTCTGGGTCTCCTTTTTTCTTCCTCCTCTCTATATATCTGGTTTTGTGTTTTTTTAGCTCTTTCTTTTTCTGGGTCTTTTTTTTTTTTTTTCTTCCATCTTTTTCTCCATCTCTGTTTTTGTTCTTGTGGGTCTCTGTTTTTTTTTCTTCTTTCTTTTTCTTCATCTACTCCTCTCTCGTGTCTTGCTATATATATATATATATATATTTTTGTTCTCTCTGACCTGTATTTTTTTTCTCGTTGTATTTTTTTCCATCATTTTCAACTTCTTGGTGTATAGCTGTAAATCTGTACGCTCTTCATCATCATCAGTCTTCAGCAAACATAGTTTGCGGTGCTATATTACCCGTAGGAGAATCAGTACACCACCTCACCCTTTAATAAAGAAATACCGAACAGAATAAGACTTTTTAAAATTATTATTTTTTTGTTGTCTGTTGCATCTTCATTGTTGTAAAATTTCAGATTTTGTTTTTGTTCTTTCTAGCCTTCATTTTTTTTCCCTTCATCTACTCCACCGTATTTTTTTTCTTTTTTTCTTTTTTTTTTTTTTTAATCTCTGACAATCTGACTTTTTCTTCCAATAATCTCTCTCACATTTTTTTCTCCCTTCTTCTTTGAAAGCTATCTGTCTCTTTTTTTTTTCTTTTTTTCTTTTTTTTTTTTGTTGTTGTTGTGTTCTGCTGAATTTTGCTACATGGATTATTTAAATTTTGAATGCATCTTTTTGAATGGTGTTTGCTGAAAGTGTGAATGTTGTTTGCTGAATTTAACTTGGTCCATCACTCCATTGACTGCATTTTGTTAAGAATTATTGTTTTAAAATTTTACTTGTGCGCCTCACATCACTCAGGCTCGCGCCTCGTCGTGCGCCTCGCGCCTAGGCTCCAAGGGACCTTTAGCGCCTCGGTGCGCCTTGGGCTTTTAATAACTATGAGTCACGGCCTTGATAATCTATGTGGACGACATAATTATGATTGGAAATGATGAGAAGGAGAAGCAAACTTCGAAACAATGTTTGATCAACGAATTCGAGATAAAAGATTTGGGGAGATTGAAGTATTTTCCACGGATTGAAGTGGCTCATTCTAGACAAGGTATCTTCATCTCGCAGCAAAATAATGTCACCGAACTTCTTAAGGAAACAGGAATGTTCGCAAGCAAACCAGCTGCAACACCTATAGAGCCAAACCATAGACTTGGAGAGGCTATTGGAGATCAAGCAGTAGACAGAGAGATGTACCAAAGATTAGTTGGAAAACTCATCTATCTTGCCCACACCCGGTAAGAAATAGTAAATTCTGTTAGCCTCATCAGCCAATTCATGCATGACCCCAAGGAGATTCATCTTCAAGCTGCCTACCATGTGCTTCATTACTTGAAAGCTAATCCTGGGAAGGGGATGATGTTCAAGAGAAACTCTGAGCTTGTCCTTCAAGCCTACACAGATGCAGATTACGCAGGGTCCCCTATGGATCAGAGGTCTACTTCAGGTTATTGTACATTCCTTGGAGGCAATTTGGTAACATGGCGAAGTAAGAAGCAAAATGTTGTAGCACGGTCAAGTACAGAAGCCGAGTTTAGAGCAATGGCACAAAGTGTCTGTGAGTTGTTATGGCTGAAGATTATACTGGAAGACTTAAGATTAAATGGAGTGGGCCAATGAGACTCTATTGTGACAATAAATCAGTAATCAACATTGCACATAATCCAGTGCAATACGACCGAACTAAGCACATCGAGATAGACAAGCATTTTATCAAGGAAAAACTAGAAAGCGGATTAATTTGCACACCATACGTTCCCACAGGAGGTCAAATGGCAGATGTTCTTTCCAAGTCAAGAATGGTTGACAGCTATTCACCAGCTTGAGGGGGTGTGTGGAAAAATACAAGTTAGTCTCCTTGATTAGTGGTAGGTTAGCACTAGAATCGTGTAAATATTTGTTTCCTAGAGTTTGGGGATTTGATTGATAGAGAATTAGGGATTCCTGATTATAGGATTTCCAAATTTAGTTAGTTGCTGATTTTTCTCTCTGTAATTTCTTATATATAGCCCGATAGAGGCTCTTGTAAAGATACACAGATTTAATATAATTGAATTAATTTAACCACAAAAACGAATTCAATAAACCATCTCAAGAGGTTAAATCAATTGTGGCAGAAATTTCTCCTGAGGGATGGATTATTATGTGACTATATCTTTCATCTTAAGGATAGAGAATGTAACAAACACTAAACCTAGGCATTAATGCTTTGTTTGGTAGGAAGGAGTGAAGATGGGTGGAAGGAAAATTCTACATCTTAGTGAGGAAGCCTGTGAGAAAACATTAATCTGTTCAAAAGTAAAGGCAAATATACCTGTAAGAAGAACCATGTGCCATGTGACATGTGACATGCACCATGCATTTACCTGTCAGCATTAGATGCAAATCTATATTTATTTTTTTGTGTTTTTCCTTCTAATTTTAGGGATATGGTTATCTATTTTTATATTTTTTGTTTATCATTTTTTAAAATATCCATTTTCAAATATAATGCCTTAAACTGCTTTCTCTTGCTCTTCTTCTGTATCTTTCTCTCCTCTCTGTTCTACTCTCTCCTCTGTTTCTCCTCTCTCTCATGAATTAGATGGTAACAGAGCTCTTTCTTATGATCTACGTGACCTGAGGGAGAAGTTGGGATGATCGGAAGATTGAAAAAGAAAAATAGGTTTCGTCACTAGCAGCGTCACTACATAATGTGAGGAGTTCTCAAAGTAGTTGGCAAAAAGCTTCATTAAGTTGAGCAGTTAACCCATGTGACTGATTATCTATAGATAAAAAGGAGATAATTTGTTCAATATTCTAACGAGTTGCCGGAATTATATATCTTGTGTTGAGTGGAATTAAGTTAAGAGGCGAGCAATTTTTTTTTTCTTTTTTTAAAATACAAGCTTATTCACATAAAAAAATTTCCAAACTGATTGTGTTCCAATGGAAGTATTTAACAAGGAGAGGTGTAAAAAAAATCGAGTATAGAAATACAAGGGAAAATAGAAATATGTATAACTTTTGCACTAAACTTCTTATTGTCCCAAATTGTGTAGGAGGGGACAAACCAGAAATATCTAGCCATGTTTTTTACTCCCATCCATGAACTTGGGGGACTGTAAACATAACCCATATTTAAAAAGATTTGAAAACTATGGTGGTATTAAAATCAAAATAAAAAAAAAATAAAAATAGAAATAAAAATAAAAAAAAGGTAGAACTACATCGGCTTAATCCGTGTACTGCATGGAAGCAATTAACCTTAGCTTATAACCATCAAGAAGGAAACATTTTCATATTTATATTATAAAGATGCAATATTTACTTTATTATGAATATACCAATATCTCTATGTAAAGTCACCAATACTATAAAAAATTGCCGATTTATTATGCTGACCTTTTTGGTCATAAACAAGTTAAACAACCAACATGAACTGCATAGTTCCAAGTAATTTGTACAAGGAAATAATAACTTTTCATTTTTTCTCACCCAAACTTGTATTATTGGATTTATCAATCCATTAATTTTATGTAAAATGTAGAGAACCTCCCAATTAGATGTAAAATGTACTCACAGTAAAGGAACCCAATAATTAAGCTAGGAATGCACCCTTCAGATGTCACCATAGGTTGCCCTAGTCTAAATGGGCATAGTCATTATCCGAGTAAAACCTCAGTAATGCATGAGTCGCGTCAAGATAATATAATTTTTTTTTTCTTTATGTTCTTATATTCTTTCTATTTTTAAGTATTGCCATCAATGCACAACAATGCTTACAGCCGTAAGACGTCACTAAGCGACCTATAAAATGGCTACATACGAAAGGAAATACAAGCCAACAATTAAAAATGAATCACAACATTAGGTTGGCAAAAAATAAAAAAAAATAAAAAATTGAAAATTCATATTTATATCTATCACAGAAAATTAAATCTATGGAGAAAGCATCATAACTTAACATAGAAGAGTACCATACCTACTTAAACCTCTCCTTAGTCTGCTCTGTCTGTATTCTGATGTTTTTCCTTTCAGAAACAATAAATACAGTTCTAAGTGCAGGTTAGCAGTATGATGGTTTTTTTACGATATTGGTCAATGACCACCAATATGCAGAGAATTCGATTGTAAGAGTTTTAATAAAAAGAAGACCACAGCATAAACCAAACGGTTGAAAAGCGTGATAAGCAAAAGAAAATGAAAAGGGAAAAGGGGGAAAACAAAAATCACTGAGTTACTGCTTCCATTACTAAAATCATACAGTACTAGAAATCTCGAATGTCGAATAAGCATATAAACAGTCCTAGACCCCTGTGTGGAGTGAATCACTAAACAACCATTTGACTAAGGGATAAAGAAAGCACCATATAAGCAAGCTTTAAGAGTAAAATCTGAAAGTATATATGTATAGCTATATGTTAGATTCCACTTATAGTAACATAAGAAAAGAATCAGTCACCAATGGGAGTTTTAGATTAAGTGACAGAAGCTATGACAAACAAATTTAATCACAGAATAAATTAAGGAGCAGAAAAAATATAGTTTGTAATTTGGATGATGAATTCACCTGCAGATTTGTGTTACATTAATTGCCATTCCAGTGGTTCAGAATGTGCCTATAAATGTCATAAAAAGTTCCACCTTCAATAACAGTAACTAGTTACACATGATATTGAGAAATTAACTCAAATTTTGACAACAAAACAAACTGAATTTAAACAAAAACAATACCTCCTCCTTCAGAAGCCTTGAATTCTCCTCCTCAAATTGTGTCAAGGTAAACATTCTCCTGTCAATTCCATGGTGGGAGACGACTCAGTGTAGCCATAGATGTTATCATTTTAAATTGCTTCTTTAAGTATTGACATCAATGCACAACACTTTCAGCTGTAAGACATCACTAAGCAATCTAAGAAAGGTGAAACAAGCTTACATTATAAAAAGAAAAATATACAAACACCAACAGACAAGGACAATTACCATGAGATGGAAAGGAAGAAGGAATTTTTTTTCATGTTTGTATTTACCATAGAAAAATCGAAGTCTGAAAATGAAGCATCACAAATTGAACTACAAATAGTTAGTAACGTACCTGCTTAAAACTCTCCTTAGTCTGCTCTGCCTCCATTTCAGTGTTTTCCTTTCAGAAACGATTTGAGTAATTTATAAGTGATTATGAATAAAAACAATTCTAAGTGAATGAAATCATGATGGAATTGTGAGTCAGCAGTATTCTGTTTTTTATGACATTGATAAATGACCACCAATATGCAGACAATTCGATTGTCAAAGAAAAAAAGAACCACAACAAAAAGCAAACAGTTGAAGAGGATGATAAGAAAAGGCAATGAAGAATTAAAAGGAAAAAAAAAAAAAAATAGGGAAAGTGAAAACACTGCGGTCATGGCCAAAACTATTAAAATTTCAATAATCTAAAACATTGATGAATAAGCACATAAACTGTCCTAGACCAATCAACTATTTGGCTGAGGGATGAAAGCTCCAAACAAACAAGTTTTCACTTTTAGAGTAAAATTTGAAAGCATATTTCTATGTTAGATGTTTGGATTTTTCAAAACTCCACGGACATGCAGAAGAGAAATGCTATCCCCGCTCAGACCAAGACGGAACTTTTACTTGTTCAAATAACAATTAGATGAAGCGGGGTCAGGAATGCCTAACTCATGTCATGTCTTAGTCGTTTGGGGCCCAAATAGGATTGTCCAGTTCCTATAGAACCTATCACTAATAGTGAAAAAGGCTTTGCAGAACTATCTATAAAACCATTTTAATTAAAGGCTATCTTAGTAATATTCTGAACAATTCATGAATATCACAGCACTGTAGAAAAACCAGCTAAGTTGCTAATGCATGGGGACACTTAGGTGCGCTCAATAACTAATTTCGTTTAAAGTTCGATTTCTGTCAGAGGGCAATATGAAACAATACAATTTTGTTACCGCGAGACACATTGGCCCAATATCGTTATACATGAGGAACTAAACTAAGGAATCAATCTGCTGGGCAGACGACGACTAAGAGGCAGAAGGTGGATTTGAGCATATCATTTTAATGGGATATTCAACATGAGCCATATTTTCTGCCATGTAATCTTACGCAGTTGAAGAAGCTATTGACTCATGGGTGGATCTAGTAGCATGCAACGTACTAATCAAATGAATATATATATATATATATATGACCAATGGGAATCTTAGATTAACTGAACTGAAGCTGTGACTTAATTTAATTACAAAATTATAGATGAGCAGAGGATAACTTTTGTAATTCAGTTTTGTGCAACTTTAATAGCCATTCAAAATATACCCAATAAATTGCTAGGAAATATATCCAGAATTTGGACTAAAATTCTGACCCCAAAACAAAATGAATTTTAGGAAAAAAAAAAATACCTCTTCCATCAGAAGCTTTGCATTTCAACCTCCTCCTCCAATTGTGTTGCCTCCATTCCAACCTCGGCGACAGAGCCACCCACTACCAAAGCCATTTTTTTTTTTTTTTTTTTTTTTTTTTTTTTTTTGATAAGTAAAAAGTATATTAGAAAAGCATTCAAAAGGGGAACGTGTCCCTAATACAAGAAGAAATAAGACCTAAGGACCAATAGCATCCAAAAGATCAAACAAATCATCAATCGAGGAGCATGCACTTCCTCTTACATAACAAAACAGAGAACGAAGAATATGAATTTTCAGATTTGCTAAAGACGCTTCTTTTCCTTCAAAATTTCTGTTATTCCTCTCACGCCACAGACACCACCAAACACAATGGGGAACAATCCTCCAATAATCACGAGCATGTTCTTTAACAGGACATCGTCTCCATGCGTTAATCAATTGTGAGGAGTGTTTAGGCATTACCCAATAAACGCCAAACATGCTAAAAATAAAACTCGAACAATCGTACGCCACAAGACAGTGCAAAAGAATATGATCCACGGATTCACCATCTGCTTTACATAAACAACACTAATTGACAATAATGTTGCCTCTCTTTCTCAAGTTGTCCAATGTCAAAATCTTTCCCAATGTGGCAGTCCAAACGAAGAATGCAATTCTAAAAGGAGCTTTAGAGCGCCAAACAAACTTCCATGGAAAAGTCGTGACCAACGAAGTTGGACAAACACAAGAACATGGATCGGACACCATACCTACCATGAGCTAAAGGAACCCACAAAATATCATCACACCCTCTGTCAACATCCTTCTGTCTATACAACGTATCCAAAAATACACAAGCTTCCTCCATTTCCCAGTCTTGAAAGTGGCACCTAAAACGCACATCCCACGTAACTCCACTGTTATCTAGTTGATAACAATCAATTACGTAGACATGCTTATTGGCTGCAATACTGTAAAGTCTAGGAAAAGAGTGAGACAGTAGCTGATCTCCGCACCAAAGGTCCTCCCAAAAACGGACATGTCTACCATCACGAACTTTGAATCTAATGTGTGAGGAGAAAACATCCCAGCCCTTCCGAATGAATTTCCACACACCAACACCTCCCGTAAGAATGACTAGGAGAGAGGACCAATCCCCACTCTCCTCACCAAAGCGACACGAGACAACTCTTCTCCACTGACGATGGCGTTCCTTTTCAAATCTCCTAAGAGAGCTCGATTAAAAGGGACCAGCTTTCAAATGCCTAACCCGCCTAATTTCAACGATTGGCAGACTTGTTCCCAATTAACGAGATGATACTTAAACTCCTCTCCCCTTCCACCCCATAGAAAATCCCTCTGAGTTTTTTCAATCCTTTCAGCAAAAGAGCATGGAATTTGAAACAAAGATAAAAAGTAGGCAGGAAGGAAGGAAGGGACGAGAGAGTACTCTTAATGAGAGTGACTCCCCCCACCCACAAAAAGAAAGATACTGCTTTTTCCATCTATCTAATCTCTTCTCATATCCATTAATCACTAGGTCCCAATTCCCAACTCGCGTAGAGGAAACTCCCAAAGGCAATCCTAAGTAAGAAAGAGGAAAAGCGCCCACTCCACACCCAAGGAGAGCAGCCAAGGAGGAAATATCTAGAACATCCCCCATTAGAACAAGCACACTCTTTCCAACATTAATCTTTAGTCTAGAAACCGAAACCGCTTAAAAGCAAGCAAGAATGCACTCGCATATCTGAGTTAAGAGACTTCGGTATCACAAAAAACCATAGTGTCATCCATGAACAACAAATGGGAGATCTACATCTGATGTTTAACATCTCTGCCAACTCTGAACCCCCTGATGTAACCCAAATCTTCCGCTTTTCTCATTAATCTGCTCAGTCCCTCCATGACAATAAGGAAAAGAAAAGACAATAATGGGTCTCCTTATCTGAGACCACGCGAGCTAGCAAAAAAACCCGTAGGGGAACCACTCCCGAGCACAGAGAACATAACGGACGAGATACAAGTTTCAATCCATTTTATCCACCTGTCTCCAAACCCCATCCTCCGAAGTAGATATAGAACAAACTTCAAATTAACGTGTATATATATATATATATATATATATATATATATAGATATATATATATATATATATTTTTTTTTTTTTTTTTTCCAGTCCTCCTGTTTTTACTTCTGATTTCACTTATAACTTTCTTCTTGTACTTATTCCCTCCTTCACAAATTTGGTGGACTTGACAGTGTTCTTCTCTACTTTAATTTTGATCTTTAAGTGGCTACAAATTTGACAGTGTTCATTCTGAAGATTTTGTCTATTGCAGTTGTTGGCGGATCCTGGAAATGCTACAGTGACAAATGCTTCAGATTTGGGAAGAATTTTGGTCTTAATGATTTTGTATAACGAATTTTTGTTTGAGTTTGCAAAATAGGTGATGTCTATGGGAAATTGGCGTCATTCCATGAATGTTTTAGGTTTTCTTCAGAATTCGCTTTCAGGCAAGCCACATGACTAGATTCTTTAGCTTTGTGGAATGGCAGGCAAATACTTATGGTTTTGTACAAGGTGAAATTCACCGTAGTACATTTATTCCAATAGTCTACTGATGGGATTACAATTTGATACCAATGATGAAAATAACTTTAACAGTAATAAATAAGGTTAAAAGCAGAGCATTATGTAAATGGGCACCATGACGGGAACACATTGGATTACAATTTGATACCAATGATGAAATTAACTTTAACACTAATAAATCAGGTTAAAAGCAGAGCATTATGTAAATGGGCACCATGAAGGGAACACATTGAATACTAGTCGATGATTCTACGTGCTTGATTTATTAACACTTTCTTCTCCATTCCAGCTTCATACTCACCAGAAGGAATAGAAACTTGTTTTATGGACTAATCATCGTCAATTAAAACATATTTGTTGTTGAGGTATCTCCTATAGAGCAAAAGAAAAGAGTGTAAACCTGAATTGATCCTGAACATCATAACCATACTTAAAGAAAGTTCTCAGTACAGACTGAGAGGAAGATGGGAGATGGACTGAACCATGAATCGAAACAACAATGTCACACTTGCATAAAGAGAACAATGTTATCATTTATTTATGCTCTAAACAAAAGAGGATGATAACAGTTGCTGGATTAAAAAAAAATACAACACTGAGTTGGAGGTTTGCATCATCATTACAATTGAAAATCAAAACCACTACTTTACCAGATTGAACTAGTTCCAAAATTGTATGTCAAACAAAACCAACATCACCTAGACTGCTCTCCCCCAACACCAAACCTTAACCACTACAAAACTACTGGGGAATTCAATTCACCATGTTGTTCAGCTTCAAGTTTCAATTTCTGGAACTAAAACAGAGAACTCAAATTTGCTCAGAGATTAATGAATGTGAATTGATTGCCATGTTGTATTTCAAACAAAATCATCATATTCACTACCCAAGAGTAAACAAGGAGAAACCAATGTATAGTTGGAATCAGAGATGTACGACCTTACTATTCCTCATTTTCCCATATCCACCTGTTACTTTGAAAGATTCAACTTGTCCTGATATAACTTCAAAAGCTCAGGAGCTTCTTCCTCGTATTTTTTCACATACATCTTTAGGAAGTAACTTTCAGGAGACTCCATCATCTGAATCAAGCCAAAATCCTTCTTAATCAAACCTTTCGACAACAGAATTTGATAAACCAAACACCTTGGAATGATCCTCCTCTCCAAGCTCAGGCCAACAAGCACTGGCCTCCTCGTAACAATCGAAGACTCCAAACCCATTTTATTGACAAAAAAATCCATTATCCGCATAATCTTATCCTCTGATGCCATCATACACCTTGGATACTTCCCAAAAGCCACCAAAACCTCATCCACAGACAAACCCCACTTCTTATAAACCTCCACCTTCTTTTCCCAATTTGATTTACTTATTGCCTTCACTGCAAGAATTGCTACACCAAACATCATTCTTTCAGGGTTAAAACCCATTTTCTTTACTTCCTCCACGGTCTCCTTAAACCTGTCAGCATTACCCATGAAAGTTCTAGGATGACTAGTAAAGAGAGTCACAATATTAGATTCAGGCACGCCTATTTCTCTCAAAGATTCAATATTGGATGCTACGCAAATGCGAGGATCATAAAACAAAAGTCTAGACTGGAGTTTAATAACGGCATTCGTTTTTTCTTCGGACTTGAGAAATTCCTTCAAGAAATTGTAGGATGGGATGATTTTGTTTTCCAAATTTCTTCTCAAAACATCTGGTGTTGCAGACAGTATTTTGGCAATGTCTTCGGTTGGAAAACCTTTAGAATGGAAAAACTCGATTTTGGGCAAAAAGGTTTTCTCGGGATCGTACGTGAGTACCCGAGGCTCTCTTCTGATGAGAAGTGAGATCTGGGTTTCGGTGAGTCCATGGTTACTGAAGAATGCGAGAACAGAGTCTGGTTTGTCTGGGGTTTTGATGTTGATGTAATTGGAGGCCAAGAGAGCCTCTTCTGGACGAAGCCCACATGATTTTACCAGGTAATCGACAGTGAATGTGTGTTGATTTGAAGTGGTAGATATGGATTTGAGAGACGACGACGACGACGACGACGACAATGGGTAGTGTTGAATAAAATGCAGTTTCTGGGTAGGTGAAGTTGATGCAACGCACCTCAAATAAGGCAAAGATTTGAATATGAAATTAAACATGGGAGAGTGCTGGAAATGACTCACCTGTTACACGGTCTTGTTCTTCTGAGGAAATCTCGTCGCAAATTTGGATATCCTTCCCTAAAATCCTCCTTTCTGATAAAACACTCTCCTACTCTCCAGCTGTTCAATATACTCAACACGACGCCGTCTCCAGAGAGCAAGAATTCGACCCTTTTTCCTACTCAGGAGTTTTGTTGGTTAAGTCTCGCCGTCATGATGAACCCTAAAATACTCTCTCCTATTTCTTAAAGTGGTTTTATATTGCCTTACACGACATCGTTTTCGGAGAGCAGAAATGCCCCTAGCCAAAGGAAAAAAAAAAAGATATGAGATGAATTTATTAAAAATGAAATTTAAAAATCAAATATTATATGAAGGATTAAAAAAGAAAGAAAAATTAAATATTTGGATCGAAATAGATCTTTATGCTTGATATGTCTTTTTTAAATGAATAAATGAAATAACAAATTTATTGGTTTTACACCCAGGAAATGTAGTGCCGTTGCAATCATCCCATCTTGAAACCTAGGGTCCTTATTGGACTCTTGTCGCTTATATCATTGGACTCTTGTCGCTTATGTGCTTGTACGTGTCCCCTATTTCTAAGGGGGATTAGATTTGATACCATTTATTGTGACTCATCCCAACTCGTGTAGAGATTATCTACTTTTGCATTCTCCTCTTGGTGCTCACCATTTTGCTCAAAACATGTCTACATAATTGAGGGATGTTTGCACATAAAAGTTTTGCTCAAAACATATCTACATAGTTAAGGGATGTCTGCACATATAAGTTTTAACAACTTCTCTATCTTCTTTCCAATACATATGTTTTTACCAATAAATAAATCAAATTCATCTATTTTTATTTTTATTCACACATTTATGGCTGATTTTATCAAATGCTTAGTGTATCCACGAAGTGGACAACTATAGTATTTGCCATTTTAATACTTCATTTGCCAATTGCTAGCTAGCATAGTTTCAACTTATATACGTATTACTCTTTACCCAAAACTTAAATAAATATAAAATTTATGTTAAAATTAACAAGTATATCAACAATGTAATACATTCATCCAATAACCACTCTACATTTACCTTGTAATAGAAAATACTAAAGGTGATATAACATTATAGATAGATTTACATTGTATAACATGCCTTAATTGAGAAAAGCTACTTCCAATCACTTTCTAATTACTTGAAGGTTTTTCAAGTCTGTTAACTAGTGGTTTGTTTGGAAGGAGAGCTTTTTCTCTCTAACTTCTAGAGAGAGAAACCTCAAAATCCAATCTGATCTTTCCCTTCTCCTTCCAAAATCTTCCTGATCTTCTCTTGTTTCCATCTTTTGTTTGTTCTCTATTCATCAGAGTCGTGCTTTCCTCTCCCCGTAGAGCTTTCTCTCTTTACCAGAGTTTTTTTTTTATCTTTTTTTCTTCTATCCATGCTGTCTCCGGTTGGGTTATCTACCATCCAGGCTCATGGCTTATGCGGTCTGTTGGATCGGGAGTTTTGATTGGTGGCAATCGGTTGGGTCCATATCCATATCCACCAATCTCCATTTTTTACCCTGGTTTTGTGTTGGTTTCCATTGTTACCTGGGTGTTGGTTTGGATTATGTCTTTTCTCTGTGTTGTTCTGGTTTTCCATGGTGGATTCATCGACTGTAAGTGCTGGGATTCATTCAGTCACCATGGACTATGAGACATGGTTTGGTGTTGCCGGTTATATTCATCCGGTGGGGGTAATCTGTATGCTTGGGTTTGCAAAATGTTGTTTGGGGGTGTGTCAACCGCTGGGGTCCAATTAAAGATTTTGTGAGTTGGGTGGATTTCTACAGCAACCCCTGTTTGTCCGGTCGGCGCTGCGTTTATTCCGGTCGCCATTGACTTTAGGTCGTGGCTGGATGTTGCTGGAATACGTGGTCCCGATGGTCCGATTCTGCAGCGTGGTTTTTTTGCTGATCTTTGTCTTTGGAAGTGGTTTTCTATTTCTTCTGTTGCAATGTGTTATGGCTGATTGTGGACCATAAGTTAATTGATCTCCCGCAGGTGCAATTGTCAAAGGCAATCATGAAGTGGTTTCTGGTGTTTGTGCGTGAGAGACACGATTTGGTTATAGGACTTATCTTTGTCCACGTGGCCCTAGGTCTTAGCCTTTACTGTCCCAAGGCAGACTCCTTGGACTGTTGGTCTAAAATAAAATTTTGACTTTTCATCTTATGTTGTGGAAGATACACAGTTGTACTTTTGTTGTGGTTGTATGTGGCCACAGCCTTGCCTTTGCAAGGCATATCTGATGTATTTCTTTTATGTTTTATAATATGTTTTTCTGTTTGCCAGAAATATATATATATATATATATATATATATATATATATATAACATTATAGAATTTATAGATGTCATGCTATGGGTACCCCACAAAAAAAAAAAAAAAAAAATCATGTGAAATATCCATACAAAGCACAAGTGAAGTATAGAACCAGGTTAGGAAAATATATCAACGGGTAATGGCCTAGCGGTATCATCATCTTACCTCCCAAAGGGAGGTCAGAGGTTCAAGTCTCAAAAGAGACATGTGTGTGTGAGTACCAACTAGGAAAAAAAAAAAAGGTTACGAAAATATTTTCTCTCTTCCTTAAGAGAGAAAAACTAGGAGTGGATCACTGCAGTGTACATTCACTCCAACGACAAGGAGGGCTCACATAATAACAGTAGTACCGGGTTAACGTGTGCTCCATGAATCTGCATTACTCATGCCTCCATTACTAGCCATTGCAAGAAAAGCTCATTGGAAATTTTTCACTAATTTTTTTATTTTTTGACATACAATAAGAAACAAGCTGTTTTCTATTTACACCAGAACTGCAATGTAATCCCCTTGAGAATGGACAGAGGGATAATGGTGAGACACCAGAATAATTTTAATTCTAAAGCTATGTAGTCTTGTGTCGCGGGCCTAGAGTTTTGGTGCAGCGGCACGGCCTAGATTGCACCAAGGCGTTGTTTCTCCTCGTGCAAGCAACTGGTCAACTCATACAACCTACCCAATCGAGGATGCATACTGACTAGTTTCGGCCTGCCTTGGCCTCTTAAGGTGAACAACTCCAACTCCCGATCAGTTTGTGTAGGGATGGCAAAGTTCCTTCTTCATAGTCAAGTTCACGATTAAAGACAAGCTCCTCGAACTGAACTGAGTCGACTTGCTTGAACTCTGAAGAGATTCCATCTTGTGGACTTGCACGCTACTTTCTTGGAACCATTCCCAGTCAATTGTTGCCCTTCACTAACCAGCATCCATGTCTTCCTTGCTTATAGCATCGTTAGGAATCCGTCTGTGACACTCTCCCCCACCTAAATCTTGTGACACCCTTATCGCAGTATGGCATTGACTCAATGACGTCCAACTTTCCAAAGTCTGCAACACCAAACGGTATGCTTACCTCGTTTCCTATCAGCGCTTCCTTGTGCAGCCCTCTGCACTTGCTGAATGGATAGGGTTTCGGACCAAACGGGATGTCCACTTCTCTTAGACGCAACTCCACGTTATATCGCCTACGCGACATCCCGAGCAATCAAGGCCGTCATGCTGACTTCATGCACACCTTTTGCATCGATTCACATCACCCTTTTACTGGCAAGAACTTTGGTGCGCACGACCCTCCAGCCCTCCAATACACAACTTCAAAAGACACTCCAATGGTGTTTCTAGGGTTATGGAGGCTCCCTTCCACTTCAATAATTAGACCCTGAACCGATGCAACTGTGCATCACCTTCATTCTCGACCCCCGGATCGACGAAAGGGCACACCCCTCTGTTTTCCCCATGTCCTGCTCTGATACCTTTTGTCATGGGCCTAAAGTTTTGGCACAATGGCATGGCCCATGCAGCACCAATGCGTTACTTCTCCTTGCACAAGTGCCTAGTCAGCCCGCACGACCTGCTCTATCGTGGCTAAATGTTGACTGGTTTCGGCCTGCATTGGCCTCTTCAGGGGAACGACTCCTGCTCCCGAATAGTTTGTGCAGGGATAGCTAAGTCCCTTCTTCATAGTCAAGTCTACGATTAGCAACAGACTCCTCGAACTGAACCGAATCGACCTGCCTGAACTCTAAAGAGATACCATCTTATAGACATACACACCCCTTCCTTGAAATTATTCCCAATCTATTGTTGCCCTTCACCACTGGCATGCCCGTCTTCCTTGCTCATATAGTCATCAAGATTCCATCCGTGACAACAAGCTTCTCTATTTACTTTATAATTTTTCTTACTTTTTGCATACGCATCAACACATATTTATAGCCAACAGCCATGGGTAGCAAGCAAAATAAGCAACTTATGTAGCAAGTTGCACTGCCGATTGCTAGGTGTCATCATCTTGATACTTTACAATTTTCGACCTATGATCTTATACATACAACACATACATCTAGCACAGAGATGAGAAAACTATTGTTTGACAATGCTTGCATTCCTCGCATCATTTTTCAATAGGTGGATCCCACCATATACAACATAATGTAAAATTTAAAGTTTTTTTTTTCGGTAATAAAAGAAATACACAAGAGTATATAATCAATAAATTATTGACATGGTCGTGGTGCAAACTTAAGAAGTTGGGTAACTTCCTTTGCCAGTAAAGCCATTACATCACTTGCATACAAATTCAATGGTTCATGGTCTATAGACTTTATATAAACAACTCGTAGTCAACCATAAATCATAACAATAGTGTAAAACAGAATCAAAAGTTCAATTTCTTCCCGTCCTTACCAGTATTGTAGTAGTAAAAATGAAGAAAACAGCAGAGTTGGTGTTGATCCCTTCGCCCGGTGTCGGTCACCTCGCATCAGCACTGGAGATGGCCAACCTCCTCATCCGTCGAGACGAACGGCTTTTCATTACAGTCATCATAATGAAGGCTCCCTTTGATACCAAGACAAGCATTTATACCCAATCAAAGTCAGAAGACTCATGCCTACGTTTTGTGGAACTTCCTCACCACGAATCAATTTCCGATTTCACTTCTAAGTCTGGTGTCCACTTTCATACCGCCCTTATAGAAACCAACAAGGCTCGCGTGAGAGATGTTGTTGCCTAAATCCAAACCACTAGGCTTGCTAGTTTTGTCGTCGACATGTTCAGCACCGACATGATTAATGTGGCTGACGAGTTAGGGGTCCCAACCTACGTCTACTTCACTTCCAGTGCCGGTTTTCTTGGCCTTATGTTCCATCTCTAGTCCATACATGACCACCAAAATGAAGACATTACTCAATTCAAGGACTCGGATATTGAGTTATCAGTTCCAAGTTTTGTCAATTC